CGGTGCAGATGACCCAGGCCATCGCCGATGCGCTGGTGCCCTACGGCACAATTGTCCAAAGGGGCCTACTTGGATGGGCCGGGAGGTTGCTAACATATTATAACAAGTTAAGATATTTACAGGGTTTAGTTGACCAAGTTAGATGCACTTAACATGACCGTAGTGAAAGTTAGCTTAAGGACTTATAACCTGTTATTCTAAGTGCTTAGTAACCCTTTAACCTACCGAATTTAACCCTTCCAGGAGCATATATAAAGACTCGGACCCCCGACTTTCATGAGTCCGACATGACAAAACTATAATAAACAACCAGCACGAAGAATGGAATAAGAGACAGCCAAGAGGCAGTTTCGAAACCGGCACAACAAGAAAAAGACATGATTGAAGACAGCGATTTAAGTGATAGGCACAAACACAGCGAGCCGTGCAGCCCCTCCAAACCTGCTTTTTGGGGCCGCCCCAAAAAAACGATGTCATGCAGAAGCAAAAGCTTGTTTCGGGTGAGATCGACATTTGAAAAATTCATAATGGTATCGGCCGGACAGGCTTCAGCACAAGAAACAAGTTTTGCCTGCAAAGTTCTGTATATTATTCTTCCTTGCACGTTTGCATGCATGTTGACATGAAGTCTTGCATGTGGTTTGCAGAAAGCATATGGTTGCTTGCAGATGCAAGATTACATGCATGACGATATACATGCATGTGGGTTTGAATCAAGACCCTATATGGGAACCTTGGACGTATATAGTTTCAAGCCCGAATCCGGAGCCTTAAACTTTCAACCCTTAAACCCTAGACCCGAAGCCCTATGACAGCATGCATGGCATGCTTGCAGCTGCATGATTTCATGCACGAGCACATGGCACTGCATGCATGTCGTTTGAAGCACGAAAGCATGCATGCTTGCATGCTTTGCATGCTTGATTGAAGCATGATTGCAGGCATGCATGATGTTCTAATCCTTGTCGCTTGAAGCATGCAAAGCATGCAAGCATGCCTGCATTCATGACGACAGATATGCAGGATGCATGTCTACACATGGCTGCGGTGGCATGATTGCATGGTCTTGCAGACTTGAGGTTGCATATTTGCAAGATTGATGGCCATGCCGAGCTTGTTGATTTTCCACATCCTCACAGACACCATGCTTCAGGAGGGTGAAACAGAAATGTGCATGGGCAGCAATGTGGTAATCGTCCCATCTGCGGCCTTGTTGTAAACCAGAGGCATCACCAAACGGTTCAAGTCCATGACTTCAAAATTGGAACCTTGTCCCTTCCACTTGGCGAAATGCTCCTTCGGGCTCTGCAGGACCAACTCGCACACTGACATGACTGCAGCATGAACCTCGTCGGTTTGCAGCAGGCACCAAACTTCTGCACAGCCGTATAGCAAAGGCGGTGTTGCTGTGAACAAGACATAATCACCTTTCTTGAGCATTGCACCCGAAGCCAGCCTGGCTTCACTACTCGTGGATGCGACTTGCTGGTTGGCGATGACACCATGCTCAAGCATCCATGTCTGCAACTTCTTAGGCATGGGATGCGGGTCAACGAGGTGGGCAGTCAAGATGCACTTTTGGTCTTTCGTGAGGTGGGTGACATGGTCGCATGTCACTTCTTGCAGAATCGTCTTTTCGTACGTCGATGTGTTAGCAATACCCGACCCGTATCGACGAACATGCTTGTGCTTTCGTTCCATTGTCCAACAGCTCGGTGCAGCTCGAAAGCGCTGAAGCTGCTCTTCGTAATGAAGAGCCCAGTGGAATTTGGGGATCAAGCGGTCTGACCACCCAGCAGCGACACACAACTGGAGTGCTTGTTCGACACAAGTTGAAAGCTCACCGGGACTTGGGAACCGAAGAGGTGCATGCAAAAGGATCTCGAGGACTCGCAACCATGCCAAGCAAGCATGTCGTGCCGGGTCACAAGGAACTGTGCAGCATCTCAACAAGAAATGCCGTAATGGCTGGTGAAGGCTCAAAACCTCGGAAGCCGAACATCGGAATTTTTTCTCCTTGACGTTCTTTTTGACGGCAGAGTCGTCAAAAAGTTTGGAGACAACACCTGCTTTCTGCGATACGTGCAATGGCCAGCACCAAAGCTTCATGTATTCGCAGAGCCGTCGCCACACATCATCCATGCCAGCATCCTTCAAGCCTTGCAATGTCCATAAAATGACATAGTTCAGCACTCCGTTGGAGCACAGCCCATGCATCCAATCAAAGCAGTACTGGGAAATTGGTTTGAGGAGATGCAGCCTTCGCAGAGTCTCCGACATGAGGAGTGCTGCAGGGGAGTACGTCCAGCCTGATGCTTGTTGCCAATCCTTAAATTTTCCTTTGCTCAAGCTTGCTTCTTTCACAGACAATCTGTCCCAGCTGGACAGAATTTCTTCGTCACTGGCAATCTGGCATGAAGACCTTGTGAGGAACTTTGCCGAAAGCTTGAAGTCGTCGTCACCTTCCTTTAAACCCCACACGTTCTTGCAGCACATACACATCTTGGACCCGCTATCTTGTCTGTTGGAGAAAGTGAACTTCTGTGCCGAGCCGTCCTGCAAGAACATGTGCAAATTGAAATATAAACGAACTCGGGTTGTGTCTGACCGCAAAGCCACTCCATGTTGTGGATTGGTGTCGCCACCAAACAATCGCTCCAACAGAATTCGGATGCACTGGCCGATTCCTGATTCCAGTTTTGCAACTTCATCGGTTCTACAAACCATCAAGGTGAACCAATTTCGCTCGTCTGCCAACAGTTTGGGTGTCATTTGAAGAAATGAAAAATATATAGCCCAAGTCTTGCGGCCCATGGAACTCAACTGGTTTCCTGGGTGCACCTCATCGCTGTACAAGATTCCGTGCCACGGTGCTTCCAGCGACGACGGTGTCATGGTGTGTATCTTGTTCAAAAGATCTGCAAAATAAGTATTTTGGCTATAGCACCCTTGCAACAAAGTCAGTAGGTTGCAGAACGGAACCTTCTTGGTCCTGCCATCTAGCATCTTGCAATCCATTTCATCCAGTAGTGGGCCATATTGGTTGAAAGATCGGATGTGTTGCTCGACGGCTTGCTTAGCATGCTTTCTTGAGTGCAGCTCTGGCACACCCTCTTTGTCCACAAGGTCCAGCACACTTTGCAAAGCCGAAAGTGAAACATACGGCAGTTGTCGTCTGAAATGCTCAAGCTTTCTCAGCTTGCAAGGTCTATCGGAACTGCCGGCAGCATGCGAAGCCATGCATGAAACAAAAATCTTTCCTTGGTTTAAGAAGTTTAGTGTTTAGGGTTTAGGGTTTCAGGTCTAGGCTTTCAGGTTTAGGGTTCAGGGTTTAGGGTTCAGGGTTTAGGGTTTAGGGTTTAGGGTTAGGGGTTTAGGGGAAGCTAAAGACACAGCTGCAGCTAGAAACCCGGACCACGTTCTAATGTGTATCCCAATGTAGTAGGTACAGTAGTAATGCAAGGTGACTATTACCACGTCTTGAAGAGGAACCTCGTTCACATGACACTTGAAGCAGGCATGCAATGCGAACCTTCAACATCAGCAGCCAAAGAATCTCTGCACATGCATGACACATCCCAAGTGCATTCGAGCTACCCTGTGCTGCATGGCACGAACAACAGATTTTCGGTCGCACCCCAATTTGCTCGACAGAGCTAAGCTTGGCAAACATGGCTACATGCATGTTGCATCCGAGCTCCCACCAAGTACCCCGTCCCCGAACCCGTGCCAGTCCATGCCTACTTCGAGGCATGCTCTGATCACAGGATGATGTTAGATATTAAATGCTTTTCCAAGCTTGCATGATGAGCAATCACTTCTTGGCTTTGTTCTTCTTCTTGTTTGCCACATACTCTTCCCATGCACGGCGACCGTTCAATCTGATGCCCTGGAAATCCTCACGGGCACAAGAAGGGCAGCCTTTCACATTGCCACGGCAGCGAGTGCAGCCCCAGCCAGGGTTGACAGGCTCGCTCTTGCTGGAGGGCTTGCTCGACTTACCAGCTCCCGTCTGTGACTTCACAGCTTTGGGCTTCTTGTCCTCAATTGCAAGCTGAGCAGGCGGCGATTTGCGCTTGAGCCTCTTGTTGGCTGCAGCCTTTTTCATCTCCATGTCACACATGTTCTTGTTCTCGAAATCCTCGAGGCTCATGGGCTGGCCAGCAGGTTTCGGATCGCAAGCACCTTGAGGCTCTACTCCAGCAGAGGTCGTGTTCGTAGAGGCTGCAAGGGTCGTATTGATCGGAGCGGCTGGCTGGGTAGCAGCTGCAGGGTTCAAGTCGCCAGGGTTGGCCTCAATCTTGGGAAGACTAAGCTGGGAGGGAGCACTTGTGGGCTGGTCATCCAGTGCTGGGAGTCCGAGCTGTTGGCGGGCAAGTGCCAGCTGCTCCATGGCACTGCTGGGTTTTTTGTTAAAAACCTGCAAGTTTGTGAGCCCGTTTTGGCCACCACCGAAAGCATTTTGCATCATCTGTTGCATAGCATCACCCATGATCTTTTCCATGCAACCATGCAAGTCCAAGCCCCCCATGCTTGCTTGCCCACGACGACCGGAGCTCGGGAACTCCTTCCTCTGGTTCCAAGACAACAACCGGTGGGTTTCCCGTACAGGGCAATCGTTCTGCAGGCAAGCATAGCCGGGAAGGTTGAGCAAGCTCGGCTTCTCTGTGCCATACACCTTCTTGACCCAATCTTCGCCCAGGCCGGTCGGGAGGGACGGATATACCTTGACCGGGCAAACGGGCGAGCTGGTGAGGTCGGCGAGGAACTGCTTACCGAGCTGCTGTGCCTTCGAGTAGATCTCGTCCGGCGATGGCCTGGGAAGCCCATGCCAAATCATGGCCTGGACCTCTAGGGCCACAGCTGCCCTTTTTGTGTCCTCTTTCATCGATGTCATCCCAACTTTCTTCAACCTCTGCACAATCGTCACAGCGGCAATGTTGATATCGCCCGTCATGAGGGTGTTCATTTCCTCCTTCGTGCAATAAGCCGGAATGTTGGTTAAGGACTGTGGGCTCCTCACGGTTTTGTTCCCTTGCTCTTCAGTAGCAGCAGCAGCCTTTGTGACCACGGCCTCACTGAGCCTCTTCTTGAGCTCGTTTGGCAAACTGGATTTCTCAACCGCTTCCACACACCGAACAAAGTCACTGGGCATGAAAGTGGAAGTG